TTATTAAACACAACAATACGACCGGTATCCGCCACATCTGTGAGATAGCAGAAGATTCATTAACGATGAAACATTGATGTAGGTTGGCCCGCAATCTTGCCGATATTTGACTACTCGAGTCTTTTTATTCCTCACTTCCAAGGACTTAAAAAATGCCACGCGTTGAGGATCCCGTGGGTAGGCCACATAAATGAGCTCCTCAATACGAGACAATTGAGTTGTGAAATGAGCAAGCTCATAATAGGTTGATGGGGGAGAGCATCTGCCAACACTTTTCATTTGCTTGGCTTGCTTCGCCACAAAGTAATATTCCGCAAAGGAGGAGAGTCACCAAATCAATCTCTAAGAGAGGTGAGGTAACTGTGTCACCGTGCGCAATGACGCATGATACATCAAGACGACGAACGGATTGGATCGAATCACTTGAAATTTAAAAATGAAGAGCGTATAGTTCCTAGCAAGTAGCCCTTTGTCATGAATCGGACAGTTCTTTTCAGCAGCTTTCAGCTGACGTAATTTAAATGAGATTACTCGCTTGCGGCCTGTAGCATTCGTTTTTAACAAAGAGCTGCCTGTGGGAAGTCGGATGCATCGCAGACAACGCTCTAAGGGCACTCAGAATTTGGCAGCGCCGAAATGGGAGCATGGCAGATACTCCACTTGATTGCCCGAATACGTCGGCATTAGTGTTGTCCCGGCGCCAATCGACTTCCTTCTTATGAAGATCATTTGATGGACGAGCCATAAAAGCGTTATTATCACTGTATTTGTGTAAATAATTGTCAAGGCCACTAACGCAAGTCCTTTTAATCTTTTTAAAAATCGGTCACTGCACTACAGCTTTAACATTAGCGGTATCCGCTCGAAGGCCACGCTTACGAATGAGTCAGCCGAGACTAGAATTCTCCTCTGCACCAAAATTGCGATCAGACGCGCTGGCGTACATTTTATGAGTGCGCATATACTCGAGCACGGCTCGCAAATGACTGATGTGATTCGCAAAATCTGATCGACCTTGTTTGGCACGACTATGAACAAAATTCTATCAAAGCACTTATGTGCACAATATCTATCTTGGCGAAACATTTGCGCCACCGGACGATTAATTGTTGCCGGAGCACCAGGAGACTTTGAGGCATCACCGGCCATTCAATAACATCTTCTTGGAGTGCTCACTGCTATAAGCGGGATATCACTCGCTTGCTTGACCAATGGTTAATGTCCGTCGCCCAAGTCGATTGTGCTATACATTGTATAAACAACCATATTATATTGAAGAACATCCTTTCGAAGAATGAAGTATGTGCCGGAATAGTAGCCGCATTAAGCTTGTTATAGAATTCACGATAAGCCACTTGCCTTTCGGCTTTCTGACATAATGTGTCGATGCCGAGAGTGGAAATTTACTCTAACGTACCATTACTGCCTCGGGCAAGAAAAAAGCATCGGTGAAATTACATTGCTCCTTAGATAAGGGCAACTATCGTGTGATACAGCTTTTGTTCCAGGAAATTAGTCAATTTCATGATGAACACCTCTATCTGGAGGTAGAACCGAGGGTGGGTTATGGCACACCACATCTCAAAATTCCTTGACTAAAAATAAAGGTATCATGAACCTCTAAGGATTGATGATCCACTACGTGCAATAAGTGCTGTTTTTGTGTCCTCTGAAAAGGCTTCACTTAAAAGTAAAGAATGGTTCAACTCTATGATGTCGGGTTGAATGACAACCACCACTGAAAGGTTTCCATTCTTTAGTGAGTGATCCAACTCATCGATTCGCTTTTGACAACTCTTCGAGTTTTAAAACAGAATTAACGAGGGTATTAAAAGAAGAAAATTTGTCATTACAGTCACTCCGTTGACGAGAATATAGCTGACACTCATCACCGCTTTGTGACGCAGCACACTATGTGTGGTCGTATCTCGCTGATCGATACCATCATCACGCAAAATATTCGCTCACACTAGAGCTGACTTCACTATAGACATCCGATGACAAGTCATTGGACATAACGTCGCATTCACGTGGATTACGTGCCACTTCACGTGCTTCCGCTGAGCCGGGCTCGGGATGCCTCGGTATTTTACCAACAACATCAAAATTGACATTAATCGCGTCTCTAAGTCAGAAAACGTTACTCATTGAGTAATTACGTACCACTTCACGCTCATCTGATGGATCAACCCTTGATGACTTGACGCTTAGTCAACAGTGCTTTCAACATTCAGTTAATTGCTCTCACAACGGCTATCACTTAGCGGAGCACACGCCGCTTCACTATCACGTATCGATTTTTTTCCTACACTCATGTCTTTGACATCGTCAGAATCAACTAGCTATAAAATTTTGATGTCCGGCACACTGGTGCTTTCATGCAGTGGCTCACGCCAAAGAAGCTTTTTATTCCTAGCAGAGGTGGGTTCATGTCTCTCCAAAGCTCCGCTAGGGGAAGTGCACGTGACGCCTAATCTTTTTGATCTCCAGTCGATTCATGGATGATGGCGCTAAAGCCAAGCCGCCCTAAAAATGAGATCATTTCTCGAGTCCAATTTAAGGAAAAAACAGCGCTCGATACTACCAAAATCGAAAGCTTTCACACCCAAGTTTACAGCTACTTTAGGTGCGGTCAGTAGAGTTACGGTCGACAAGCGAATAGTGATCGTATCACCCCATGAGTATCTAGCGCACCAACATTTCGTGGATTCCCGCAAGGAAATTTTAAAACAAAATTATTAAACACTCCGGAGTTGATCAAAATTATCCATAGTTTGCCAAAACGCTTAACAGTCGCTTTCGCGACCTAACAGCCTGGATTGTATCTCGTTTCGTTTTATAGTGCACATAACTTTGTGAGGATAAGTTATGTTCGCCACTACATCCTAGATGCTCAACAGAGCACATGACTTCTTTGGTGTGGCGCCCCGTGTTTACTGGATGTCTAAGTTTTTAGCGCCGTGCAAGACATCTGGTCAGCAGCGAGAGTTCGACCTGAATTATCCTGATGTTCTCTGCTGATAGGACTATGAGGTCGCAGATGGATTTGTGCTTCCGCACGTAATGCATCATCGAATGTTTCGATGATATTCGACATCTTGAAGCTCTGCTTCTCAGTCTGTCTCGGCGAGACCGAGTTTTTAATAGACTCGGCGGAATTGAGCTGATGAAATGAGTTCGACGAGTTCGTTTCATACTCATGGGTTCCAAAACGGTTTGCCTTGAAGTAAAACATAGCTTTCACCACCAAATATCCTGTCTTTTCGAAGGTAAGTGTTGTGGGCCTGAATAACTTCCGCTCGAGTCACGACCGTCATAATGCCATCCATGAGGTGGTACCCAAATGCACATCTAAGGTAAGGGATCAAGGTGCATTGCAGCAGGTTGAGTTATCAGCTCCTGGACATAGTCCAAAAGATTTTCCCTGAATGAGACATAGGAAGCGGATCGCATTGATATGGCTGATTAAGCATATCATACACCCGGAATATTTGTGGTGTTAGCAAATCCTATGTGGAGAAAGCCTATTCTGCCGAAGTGCTACATGTGAGAATCCATCTTTAACTCGACCATATAATTATGAATAGCTATCCTAACCCGATATTAATCTATTTGAAGCATAGCAGAGTTCATAGCCATTTCCACTTCTCTTGTCAAGTCGAGTACATTTTCCCTTTTTTCTTTGAAATGTCTTTATAGTCAATCAAAGGGGCGACCACTGACTTTTCATCTAAAATGGGAACTAACTAAGTGGGCATAGCCGATGATCAATGTTCGTGTACTAACCCAATTAAAGTGGATTGAAACTGCGTAAAAGCCTTAAATTGTGCAGAAATACGTCAAAACCTTGTGCGAGAATCAGATTCGATCATTCGTTCCGGACTAGCGCTCTGAGTTTCTCCAGAGCTAAATGTTTGACCTCAGAAAGAGTAATTTTGGTTTCTATCTTTACATAGACTCAGTCTTTAACAGACGCAGGTGTAGATTGACTCAAACGTGCTACCAATTGTAGCGGAGCTAACCTACCTCCTACGTCAGAGGAAGACTTCTAGACTCGCATAGTCTTTTAGTTAATTAAATTAAGCTGATATTAACTTAAAGAGTATCAAATCTTACAGGCTTGATGAGACTCAACTCTAAGTGTACGTACAAGCTCTTAAGCTTCTAGTCCTGGTTCAAGGGACTACGGCCACAAGGAATCCCGTGGTACTAATGCCCAAGAGAACTTCGCCTTAACTCAGGCACTTAAACTCTTACGACTAGAGACGACTTAGAAAGACACGTGTCTGAAATTGATCAAAAGGGTGGCTAAATATGTTTACTGATTTATAGCGATAACAAATTTTTTATTTACATCTTTCAACTTAAAACTGTGCTACCTAATCGAGTAGTCCTCATCGTAGTTCTTCTTTTGTACCACACCAGAACTACGCTACCTCTATGAAGACACTATTTCAAGAGATTCCTCGAACCATAACCGATAGGGTACGGTATTTTCGCTTAGCGTGTGTGTTACAAAAGTACGCCTTGTCAGTGACACTGATCCCTCTCTGTGTGGTCTACAGCAATGTACCCAATCATTATACCCATTTGTGTAACCCCGTTTTAGACAGGCTAGGTCGTATTCAGTACGCCGTTTTAGATAGGGAAGATCGTATTTTGTACGGGTAAGGTGCACCTAACCGCGTTTTTGTAGTCGCACAGATGGACAGATAAGTACGATTTTAAAGTCGGGTAATTAACCACGCCCACACTCACAAATAGCGTCACCTTTCGGGCTCGCAATAACTTTGCAGAGGGAAGACAGTTATGACGTGCAATTGAGTAGATACACATTTGACCTACACTGAATGCGCTGACAACTACTGCTACCCACTGTACGATCTTAATACGACAAGAACGATCAACGAAGTCGATCCATCTCCTTCCAGGACTTTATACTAATAAACTAAACGATGGAACCCCGTTCACCTCGTCAATCAACACCACTCGCGATCTTCATGTTTACAGTGCACGCCCTCGCTCTCCTTGCTGCCACCGTTGCAGTCATTGGGTCGGTAGCGGCAGGCAACACCCCAAGTTGCACCTACTTACCCGTCTTTTTCTTTCATGGGGCCACCGGCGACTTGACCAATGGTGCTAAAATTGAAGGTAATCTGACTGGCGATGGACGCACTTACACTGCCCTCGACTTTTGCTCAAATGCGTGTTCGGTCCGCACGTCCATCTCTGATCAAGTGGTGATGGCCATCAAACAGATACGCGATATCATTGCCAAAGACACTGCAACCTACGCTCACGGATACCACTTCTTGGCCCACTCGCAAGGTGGTTCCATTGCCCGCGGTGTAATTGAAGAGATGGACGATCACAACGTCCACTCGTTCATCAGTCTAGCAGGTGACGGCAACGGCAACTTCTATGGTCCTCAGGTCTCCGATGCCATTCCTCGTCAGGTTTTGCTGCAGGCTCTGGGCCCTCTTGCTATTGACAAGGCTGACTTTGACTTTGTCAAGTACGCGACCAACTCGACGTTATCAGAAGGCAAGTTCCAGCGGGATCTGATTGAACTGGTGACTACGAACGGGGCACTGCAGCGCAAGAGCTCAATTGCAAACATCATCCATCCCCCTCTGGACAACGGAGCTCTTGTGAACTGGCTGGACATTAACCCGTTCCTTCCGAAAGTGAACAACCTACAACAGTGTGGCAACAATGGTGCATGTAAAATGAACCAAACACGTCGCAAGGCAAACTTCGTCAAGCTCAAAGCTGCCCACTTCTTTGCCTCACCTCAAGATGATATTCAGTCTCCGTGGCAAAGCTGCTTGCTTGGCAAGTACTCGACCGTTGCAGCATTGGACGAAATTGAGACTAAGTTTGCGGAGTTTACGATTGTCCCGATGAAGGACACGGTCGAGTATAAGGAGGATCTGTACGGCCTAAAGACCCTCGACAAAGCTGGTGGCCTTCACCTTCACGAGGTAGCCGACGTGCCTCACAACTGCTGGTTGCTGGACTATACCTCATTGGCCTCAGGTATTGCGTGCCAACACGCGCCTGTATACGGCGCTAAAATCTATCCTCTTCTAGTGTAAAATTGCATCTGATCATGGAGATTGTCTGGAGGTATAGCCAGAAGATCAGGAAGGGAGCACGTCTAAGAAGCTGCATTTGGACTATGTACTAGATTTGGAAATGATTTCTGTGGTGGTGTTGCGATTGTGGAGGCGGACGTGAATAGAGCGACTGGACTAGAATAGTCTTGTGCTGGGGGTGTGGATGATGCAGCAGCATCGCTCGTCGTAGGCGAGGTTTCCATGTCGTTGGCATGCATTTCGAGGTGAAACTGCTACCTGGTAAATGGCACTTGTGTAGCCATGGCAACAGCTCGTCGAAATAAATCTATCAACTGGTACGACCAGAACTTGTATGTCTTCACGCGTTGGACTCTTCACATCTCTGTATTTGTTGACAAGCAGCCACAAGCTGTCTCACTTAGGATTGACCTACTTGCGGGTAAATGTTTTATACACAGAAGAAACTGGGCACGACGCTTTGTGCTAATTACACTTTGTCCTCAGGGTAAATACGACGATGAGAGATACTTCCAAGATCGAGTGGCGAAACCAATACAACGCATTTGCTCGATGCCTGTCTAAATTGTCACGAGCTCTCAAGCACTTCCATTCAAGCAGTAACGCGGCACGCGTAGCTTTCGTTATGATCTCTTGTTGTCTCGATGGGTCAGAAACGGTAAACTCATCACTGCTCATCGCCCTTACTGCTGCCGGAGAAAATACGTGTAAAATCTGCAACGCTTCCCAGAATCCCACGGCACTCAGACTAAAGTTAACTCAGTAGACCCATGTATCCATGGTAAAAATGGCCAAATGTTCGAGGTACTCGACAACTCAAAACATATTCTGCATCAAAAGTTGGTGCTCGCGAAGCGGGCAGGCCGCTAGAAGTGCAAAATGTAGCTACGATTTGGATATTAAACGAAAGATGGGGAAGCGAGGTGGACCAAAACGGTGCCTCTCTCACTCGACGATCCTAGTAACTTACGGATGGGCTGGATCCTAACGCAAGAGGTTGTCAGATCTTGCATGAACGACAACTCTGTACATCGCCGATGCAAAGGATCGTAAGTGGAGCTAACGCTTTCGAGGACGCTGGTATCTGAATTCGTAGTATCCAAGCTCACGCACTGATGACTAAGCTGAAATCAGCAAAAAGAAGACGGTGTACCTATATTCGTAGGTTATTTGCTAGCCACGAGACTCTGCTTTTAGCCCAGCTCCGAAGATCAGGCCGCGCTTTTCCGTAGTCTGTTTCGCTTGGTAGCTACTGCAATGCGTTCACGCTTTGTTTCCTCACTCGGCAAACTTGTTATCCTTCTCTCTGAATACCAAAGTGACCTGACTGACTTACCACATCCCCCGTCATCCGCTGCGTGATCAACTTCCGCTATTAAATGAGCTGGAACGCAGCATTCTGTCGCAATTTGACGCCCCGTTTAGCGTCATCGATTCCTGTTCTGCTGCAGCGATACCACTTCTGGTTCAAGTGTATTGCAGCTCCGGTTGGTGACTACTGCGTAAAAAGCACGCTGTGCGCTAACCAAGACGGACTTTTATTCTGAAAAAAAAACGCAAGGCTGGGAACGGCTTCACTCGACTTCGGAATTGATACCGCGCCACTGGAAACGAGAAAAACAACAGTGACGAGCGCACTTCTGCATGATGTCAAAATTAGTGCTGTGTCTGCGAGTGACCCCACAAGATTCGCATCACCGAGTCTTCATGGCGTGCATACCAAGCGGACCAAGGCTACCCAGGCAATGTCATACTCCGGAAAAGCTACACACGTGCCTGTTTCTCATATACTGCCTCGATAAAGCCAGCATCTTCGGCACACCCGTGCCGATCAGGGTTGCAACGTACTGATAAACACCTCCCGGATCAGAACTCCATAAAAGCCATCAATTCGTTCCTCTAGCTGATATTGCGGTAACCACGTACGTGTTCGCAGCCTCATCGTTACCTCCTAATTGTCATTAGGTAATCTGTCACAGGTATTCTCGATGAAGTCAGGAGAAACCGCCACACTTTCAATGAATGCCAGCGATATAGCGCTTTCACGAAAGCCGTGGAGCAGATCCCGACACTTATCCTGGTCTAGCGTTTCGTACACACCGTAATGCTCATCAGCAACCACGTCAGCGACCTCGATCGACTTTTCTAGTAAAGGCCGTGCAAGCTCCACCTTGGCATTCTCCGGATAATGGACCAAACGCATGATCGTTTTGGCGGACCCAAGCTGTATTGAGTGCAAATTGAACACGAGAGACGGCAAACAACGCTTTCGAAGAGCAGCGTCTTCGACGGCATCGTCAGAACAACCCACCAGCCATCCGTTTGCAAAGCGCAGCACCTCCAACGTAGCGGCTGTTGATCGTGAAACATGGAGCATTAATTCCGCCAAGTACTCCTTTTCTTCGCTGTACAGTGACAGCGCCTCCACAGCAAGACTGCTCACACAATTTCTCCATAAATCAAACTGCGCAGAAGCGTGAATGTATATGCGCCAGCATAGAAATTCGCGAACGGCCCGGTCAATCTCGTCACTTGTATGCAGTAGCTGGGTGTCACGGGTAACATCTAAAACGCCAATTGAGTCCTCTGGTAAAGCCTCCCTGACGAGCTCCTTTAAAGCCGCAAACTTCCCCTCGAAAAGGAACTGACGCATAAGCAAATTTGTACGGACCAACGCTTCCGCTCGGTGTTCAGGAAAGAAGCACAAGAACTCAATCGTCCGAATCCGCCTCCTGTCAATGTCTGTCGTCGCAACATCAAAAGATACCGATTGACCCTTCTTCTGTTGCTGTTTATGAGCAACCGACCGATATTCCTCACACTGACGCTCCACCACAGATTGTAGCACATTTGATAGGATGTCCATACCGGCATGCGCTGCAACTTGCTTGACGGAGAGCTCGCGCTCTAAGCTATCGTCAATAGTAGACAGCATCTGCACATATATCTCGATTGCACCTGCGGTAGGAAGTCGAGAGGCATAGACTGGCACAAATTGCAGCTGGCGGTGTTTTACCAGATACCGAATGTACAACTTTAAAATCATGTGACCCGTCTCCACATCAAAGTGTTCGCCAGTAAAGCCGGCGAGCATGATAAAATGGGCTGCAAAGCGTAAATAGATCGAAGAAATTTCGTCGGATGGTACCATCGAGTTCAACTTCAAGTCCCAGTTGTACGAATCGTCCTCCGGGTGCAACAGCAGCGTGCCCAGAACTTTTGACACGATGTACTGAAACTTGCCTGTCACCAACTTGGCCTGAATTTGGCGGTGGGGTTGGTTGGCCTGCATGCGGACAAGCTCGCTTTGGCTACCCCGCAGCTCATCAAATAGCGTATCTAGATCAGGTTGATAGCGTTTCAAATACTTCGTCTTGTCCAGCAAGTCAGCAAAACGACGAAGGTAATGGGCATTGTTGCCAACAACCAACTGCGACGACTGAGCTTTCACCTTTAGAAGCTTGAACAATATTTCATCAAGTTGATGTTCTGTAATGCCCTGCAGATAAGCCCAGCAGTGATCTTCCCAGCTCTCGCAAAGCGGACTTTCTGTAATAACCTGAATATTGCCACTTAGCGCTGCATATATAAGCTCCTCGTACTGTTTCGCAAGCAGACTTTTGCTTTTGGATAGTTTTCCGTAGGGAGCTTGTTCTGACAAGCGCCAGCACACCGATTTCCAAAGTGCACGCAATGGATTGCCCCATCGCTCAAGCGACAAACCATCGCGGTCATTCGTTTCACTCACACCAACCGAACTTCCTCCCGAGAGGCTCGCTGCTCTCCACGACTGGCCCAAACGGATGCATAAATCAATTGCATCGACCATTCGTCCCGCACGAACATACAACCAAACAGCTTTCAACAACTCAGCTTCGTCCTCCATGTCATCGGGCAAAATGTGATCGTCCCCGTCGCGCAGCACTGCATCCGGATCCACCTGGACATTTTCTCCCGCAAAACCTTGTTTTCTCATCATCGTCAACGTACGCGATCCACTGGTTCCACGCTTCTCGCTAATGGTGATCGTGTTCTCCAGCGCCATGCTCTCCAACCACGCCTTTACTGCTTTTTGAACCTTGAACGGTTCGTTCTGTGCTTCTAGCAAACGCACTGCGTCGTCTTCCAGCATTTCAAACCGCAGATCTTCCGTATCTTGGTCTAGCACCGCACACATGTCCTCGTCGTCTACCACCTGCTTGCTTGTGCTGCACACCTGTCGCAGCTCAAACAGCAGTCGCCACGTATTCCGTTCGTCGCGCAACTCTTTCATGTCCTTCTGCAACCTCTCGTGCGTCACCATCGACACAGCTTTCCAACTGTCCGCAGGCGTGGCTTCCATCTTTTCCAGTCTAGTCTGCAGCACAGTAATATATCCACGCAGCAGCTTCTCGCAATACAGATCCGAGTTTTGCACCTGCGCCACATTGGCGTAAAAATCTGCTGCCATCTCAGCAAACAATGCTTCTTCTGGTCGCACACGACTTGAGAACAAGCCCTCATCTCGCGTCGACGGCACAGAGCCAATCGACAGCGACCAATCGAACGTCGCCAACTCAGGAATCACGTGGTCGGTAGTGTCCATACCATCTGCTGAGAGAAATTGTGACTGCTCCTGTTGATAGACGGACGAGATCGAAGAGATCACCAGCTTCGGATCCGACCGTCGAGTCGCGGTGTTGCTGTAATTGCGTCTACTGCCGTAACTGCCATCAACGCTGTCAAGTGGGCGACGGGCAACTTTGCTGTCGTCATCAGGCGCTGCAGGGACAATAGAAATGGCTCCTTCCCAGCGCACACCGCAATCCACAGCGAGCCACGCGTCTTGAACGAGCTGTCCACCAAACTTGACACGGGCTTCACGGGCACTAAAGCCCAATGCCTTTATCGAGTCTCGACGTGCACAGAGCGCGTGCTTCAAGTCCCCAACCGTTGTACAGCGAGGGTCCACGTCCACGTACTCGGTCGAGGCGTCAGGAAACACGCCCTTCACGTGCAGCAGGTCTGACGACCCTGCAGATGGATGCACGACAGCGTGCGCGAGCGACGACGTGTCGGTTGGAGCGCCCACTTGTGTCGAGGGGTTCCTAATAGAAGACCGCTCCGATGCCACGGACGCAGGGGAGGCCATCGAGCGGTCGCACGCACGACGTGAGGCGGCTGTTGGCCCGTCACCCAGAGACGCGAGCAGACTCAGTGACTCGTCTGCACTTTCCATGAGACGCTGGACGGCGGCGCTGCGCTGAGCGCTGTCGGATGACGAGCGCCTGGCCATTAGATGGGTAGGTAGGTGGCTGGCTGGATTGGGATCGAGATGGATAGATAGAGAGGTCGCTTTAATGAGCCAGATGACGACGCTTTCGTCCTCTATTAAGGGAGGTTTTAAGCAGGGAAGGAGTGGTGGTCGTTCGTCACATAAAACTGTCGAGTTGCTCGACGTATTATCTGGTCGGGAGCTCGCACGACAGATTCGATCGTCAGTTGGCCCTCGCTTGACATATATAAGCGTTCGATTTGTATTTTGTCCACTCGGAGCGAGTTTCTTTCTGTCCTCGACGGTACTACGACTGACTGACCGACCGACCGACCGACCGTAGCCATCCAATCACACGCCCACCGCTCACAAAGGACGAAACGACGCCCGGTCTTGCTACTGGCAACGCGACGTCATGCAGCTCCTGGTCGGCAACGAGCCCAGCGACGACGAGCTCAAGTGTTTCTTGACCCTGTCGCTCACTCACACTGCTTTCTCTGTAGGTCCTGCCGACCGCCACGCGTCCACCACTTGCGGCGTGCAGCTGGCAGTAGAGCCAGACGCGGAGCGGATCTTTTCTGCCAATGCCGTGTGTCGCTACGTGGCTGAAGCGGCTCAGCAGCTCCAGAGTGACGATTTGATTGTGGACGACTGGATTGAGTGGGAGGCCACTACACTGTCGCCGTGGCTGCGCGCAGTCCAGTCGAGAGACAGTCAGCAGACGAGTGAACAAGTGGCTCTTGAGCTGACGGCGTTGCTCGAGGCAAAAGACGAAGACGCTCCTGGTCATAATGGAAAAGGCAGGGAGCTGCACTTTCTCTTTGGCTCGACATTGTCTCTAGCTGACGTGATTGTTGGCGTCACGCTGCGCGCTGCTTTCCAGCTGTTGAACAAAGAGGAGCAAAGCAAGACGACAGTGCTCCAAACCTATCAAGACTACGTCGCTCAGCTCTTTGCTCGTGAAGACGTTGCACAGGGCGTGGCTAGTATGGAACGAGCTTTGGAGAAAGAGAAAAAGACCAACGGCGGAGCTGCAGACGTGGCTGCTGGTGAGACGGCTTCGAAGGTTAGTGGCGAGACTGCTGCTGTGCCATCGACGTTCAAGCTAGGGGAGGAGCTTGAGAAAGGTCTGACGTTCCACAACATCTTGGATATCGTCGAGTCGATCTTTGATGCGGCTATCAAGTCGGCGTACCCTGATCTGGATGTTCCGCCTGTAGAAGTCACGCGCACGAACGTTAAGAACGCCAAGTTTGGCGATTACCAGTGCAACTCGGCCATGGCTATCTTTGCGGCGCTCAAGGGTACACCGCATGCTGCACAGTCGCCGCGTGCTGTTGCCAATGCTATCATTGCTGCGATGCCAGAGACGCGCGTACTGGATCGTATCAGTGTTGCGGGCGCGGGCTTCATCAATGTCTTTTTGACAAAGGAGTTTGTGGTCCACCGTCTACAGAACGTGCTGGTGAAAGGCGTGCAGCCGGCTCCACAAAAGCAGCAGACAATCGTCATTGACTTTTCGTCGCCAAATATTGCAAAAGACATGCATGTGGGTCACCTGCGGTCCACGATCATCGGTGACACCATGTGCCGCATTCTCGAATTTCAGGGCCATAACGTGAAGCGCATTAATCACGTTGGTGACTGGGGCACTCAGTTTGGTATGTTGATTTGCCACCTCACGGAAACGTATCCGAATTGGGAGACGGAGATGCCTAACGTGACGGACCTCACGAAGCTGTACAAGGCCGCAAAGGAGCGCTTTGATGCTGACGCCAAATTCCATGAGCGCTCCAAAGCGCAGGTGGTGCTGCTGCAGTCCGGTGACGAAAAGTCTCGCAAGGTCTGGACGACTCTGTGTGACATCAGCCGTCGTGAATTTCAGAAAGTGTATGACCGTCTGGGTGTGTCGCTCACGGAAATGGGCGAGTCGTTTTATAACCCGATCATTCCGGGCGTTCTGAATCAATTGCGCGCCAAGGGTCTCATGGAGGAGAGTGATGGTGCCGAGGTGGTGTTTACTAAGATATACAAGCAGCCGTTCTTGCTAGTGAAGAGTGATGGCTCCTACTTGTATGCTACGACCGATATTGCTGCGCTGTGGTACCGTCTTCACGAGATGAAAGCAGACCGCCTTATCTACTACACGGACTACACGCAGAAAGACCATTTCAATTTGCTATTCGAAGTCGGTCGTATGTCGGGTATTTATGATCCAACGAAGCAGCGCGCAGATCACGTTGGATTCGGCACGGTGAATGACGAGTCTGGCAAGCGCTTCAAGACTCGTTCGGGTGAAGTCGTGCGCCTCGTGGAACTGCTAGATGAAGCGAAGGTCCGCATGAAGGCACAGCTGATGGAGCGTATCGAGGCTGGACAGACGGCGCTGCCTGTGGACCAAGTTGACGCTGCCGCGGAAAAGCTCGGATACGGTGCCGTCAAGTACTTTGATCTGCGCCAGAGCCCAACATCCAACTACATCTTCAGCTTTGACCGCATGCTGTCCACGAACGGTGACACGGCTGTGTACCTCATGTTTGCCTACGCGCGTCTGTCCTCGATTATTCGAAAGTCGGGCGTTGACATGGCTGCACTCGTAGCGCAGCAGCTGATTGATGGCAATGTACTGAAGCCGGAACACCCGACGGAGCAGGCTCTGGTCACGGAGCTGCTCCAGCTCCAGGACGTTATCGCTTTTATCAACAAGGACCTGAACTCCAATCGCCTGTGCAGCTACTTGTACACGATTTCGGAGAAGGTGCAGACGTTCGTCACGGCGTGCCGTGTGCTAAATAGTGAAGAGCAGAGCAGCCGGTTGCTGCTGTGCGATGCCACAGTTAAGACGATGAAGACGTGCTTCTCTCTACTAGGCATCGACCCGCTGGACCAGATCTAAGCTATTGAACAGGTGGATGCTGGCGAAGAAGAAGGCTACCAGGTCGCAGGTTGTTTAGCTTGTCCGGTTTGTTGATCTAGTCAATCAATGAGGAGGTAAATGAAGCTCAATATATTGGATTAGAGTTCTAATTTGCACAGGACTTATTCCGTGATCGTGTGAAGGCTCTATCTGGAAATGACCAGAGTTTAGTGACGGTATCCGTCGTAGTTGAACATGCAGAGATATAAAAAAAAAAAAAAGACGCCACACTGGCGGTCTTCTATGCATTGGTGCTGTAGTGCAGACCCGTGTCAGTTTCGAGCACTGTGCAATCGGACAGGATGAAGCGCAGCGAGTACGCAGAAAGCTGCTGGTCGCACGTCGACGCATCGCCCAAGTCTTCATCCTCCAGTTCGCAGCCGTTGTCATCATTGGAAGCAGCTGCCAGCACTGCTGGGTCCATTGGGGTTTCGCTCGTGTACCTTGGCGGTGGTAGCGTCGGCACGTCGGCAGGTGTGAGCTGCAGCTCGGACGGCACCTGGCCGCCGACGAGTTCAAGATACTCTTGTGTGAGCTGCTTGATTTTCTGCTGGATGCGCGCCTTCTGCGCAACGTCCGACACGTGCGCCATGTACTTGCACAGGTGCTGGATCTTTATGAGCTTCGACGATACCTGACGGTAAGGCCATCGCTGGATGTGTTTTCGACGGCATACGCGCTTGACCACGGCCTCACAGCTACCAAGACGTCGTGCAGCTTCTCGCAGTGGCAAGTGATAGTACTTTTGAAGCTCCGAGAGCTCAAAGTCGGCACTAGTGCTCGCCATGTTTGTTATCCAAGAAGTTGTTGCAGCTGAACCAGTGTCAAGGCAGCTAGGGCACGGAGCTTTTGTGTGTTTGGATGCAAATTTTGTAATGAAGACATACTCCACAACAGCAGCAGTGATGTACTGCGTGAGGGTAGGCAGGTGGTGAAGCGTGTGTTGTGGCGAACGGCACAGAAAGGGCGTCATGCGGAACGCGGAACGTGGCGCGATGACATGAAATTGAAGCGAGGGCTCTAGCAAGCTTTGCGTGCCAATCGGTCGTGATCAGCAGAGAGGTACTCGTGCAGTGCGGGACGATGACGACGGACGTTGGGCGACAAGGATAGTGGCAAACAGTGGCCTGACCTTTGAGAGCGTGCACGAGGGCACTGCCTCATCCGCCGACGAATCTCGGATCACCCACCCGACTGTGGAGTCGGTAAGTGCATGACAAACTAGACCAACCGTGGTATGCTAGTGACTCCTAATGTCCGCATTCGATGAGTCAATCCGACAAAACGGACTCGACTCCACCCAGCGATACCTACTTGCTTGTGCCTCGCCACTGCCGTTCTAGCGGTGTGTTGATTGTTGATGCCATGCAAGCGTTGTGTCACCGTCCACCAGCCGTCAACTGTCGCGATGCAACGCGACCGCGTCCCGATCGAAATGGATATTCTCGATGAACGGACGTCACGTGCGTACTCGCACCGAACATCTGCTTCCTTTCGACCGCGGGTCCGAAGCGAGACTCGACGCTTGAATTGTACCTCCACAAATCCTTGAGCAACAAAGGTGGTCGAAAACAATCGAGACCGATCGACCGACCAGATGTGCGGGCCGGTCTTGTGCGACAAGTGCTGATCGTGTCGAAGACCTTCAAGCATCAGCGACCGGCTGCTCGAATCGGAGCCCGTGGGACGACGACGTCTGACTACTGGTACTGTTTCGGTCTTTCGTAAACGTTTTTGGTGTTCGCGTCGGTGGGTCGTACGCGCCGAACCGAACAGCGGTGTTTTTTCCATCGAGCTCCACTTCCGACGGGGAGTTGTTGTCGAACCGCGCTCGTTGGTCGTGTACACAGCCAAGCGGGTTGTGGCATGCGCTCGCACGTCAGTATTGTAGTTGTTGCGTAAGTCTGCGAAAAAGGTCTCGGTTGATCCGTCTGTGTGCTGCTCACCAGCGTTGCTCACTAGGCATGTTACGAAAGCTACAAGTGCAATATGTGGCCGCACGCCAACTCCATTACGCTAACTATCGAGCACCCGAAGACGTTGCTCCGAGTCACCTGCAATCGTCCGCCCCGTTAGAGCATTTAGTGTTGGCATCCCAGCTAGAACAAGGACGGGCATGTTATTTTGTGATTGTGCTCGTCCGTTCTGTCGCTCGGTGATCGCTCACAGCAGCCGGTACGACACTCGTGGAGAAAAGAAGGCAAGAGTCGCATATTACGAGCAAACGGCTACCAAGGGAACGAAAGATGAACTGGCTGTAAATGACATAGCACTGCGATTTCGAGCCGGGATCGCAACAAGGGAGTCGTCATCAGCAGAAAATCACAGAGCCTTAAAAACCGGCACAGGATGGGCAAGACCGCTGCATTATTGCTGTACCGGACGCGCTGAGCTGAAGTGAACGGTGTCCACCACTTTTTTTAGAAGATCGATGGTATGTGGTGCTTCGTCGGTGCCGCGTGGCTGTAGAAAAATAGCTTTGGTCTTCTTACGAAGTGGAATGGTTGGTGCATGCATAGTCCACATAAAGTCCTACGAGTCCGCTGTGTCAACGACAACGAGGCGACGGGCAAGCGATTTTGTTTGAACATTGTTATCAGCTGCAAGTCGATCGGGTATGTCGTTGAAATAAAAAGGTCCAGCGGGCAGTATCGATCCCAGACGAGGCCATTTCGTGACGAATACTTGGAAAATTGACGAAAGGGTCTCGGAACTGAGACGTGTAAAGATGCTGATCCGTTCTCGTCGGTCGCGCTGGCGACAACATGATAGTAGTGGATACCATCGTGCAATCGTTTGATTGTGACGTGCGCCTGGGGACGCTGCTCATTGGGGATTTTTGTTCAGCATAACCTCGGTAATTGTCAGGACTCAAAACAGCAACGTAACATGCATTTATGTAACGGGTAGCCCGTTACTTGATATTGACACCAAACGGTGTCAATAGGAAGATTGCCCAGCGTGACAATTCCCTGTCAATATTACCCGAGATAGGTAATATTGAAGGAATATTATCCCCTTTTGGATAATATTCATGCGCTGCTCAAAGATTGGTTGATAAAGACATACAAGCGAAGATTAACACCAATCGCTGCTAGACGCGCGCAATGAGTGGTGAGCAGGTTGTAGTCATACGACGGCGAAGTTTAATATAGTTAGATAAAGGCTGAAGCTGTATTGATTGCTTAGCTCTATTAAATACAGCTCTTTTTTACCTTTTACTTAGCTAGCCGTTAAGTAGACTAGCTTTGTAACGGGGCACCCTGAAGCTTGTACTGGTGACAGAACAAGCTACTTATTCTGATGACAGAATAAGGCGGTGCCTCGTAACTTCACGTACACTCGTACGTGCAGAGGAAGACGGTAAGAAGAAGCGAGTACTTGGTTAGAGTAAAAAGTGGAACTGTATTTAGTATAGTTAATGTCTGCAATAAATCACTATTTATCTTCATCTAACTATGTCTGAATACAAATGTGCATATCAGCTATCTGCTCACCACTCATTGCGTGCGTCTGTCGTGGCGCGTCTTCGTTGGTTGATATAATGGCCTATATCAACCAATTAGGAACTACTCGTAAGTGCTACAGAATATTTGTCCTTATGACAATATTCTGAGAATATAACTCTTATAGTTACATTCTATTAACAATTTCTTATAAATTGTTATGTAACGATTCACCCCGTTACATCACCCCCTTAACCATCAGTCACTTTAGTGACTGATTGACTAAATGGATACTCGTCCCAAATCATTTGGGACAGGGTTTGCACTTGTTGGTCCGAGTCCACTTTCCAACATCTCATCGCATGGTTAACAAGCCCATGCGATGCGCGAGCAAGGCCGCCGAGAGCGCGTCCGCACGTCTCTGTGCGGACGCCGAAGCAGAAACCACAGCAACTGATGTCTCATCGGTTGCTGAAGCGACCCAGCCTGTGTCACTTGGTGATGCAGGCGCTGGTCATGAAGACACTCATGTCTTCACAGAGTATGAGCTCGGTGTCTCGTACTCTCCTGATACGGAAGACGATTCCGTATCGACGGCGATCGAATCCAAGCCGCCTACCAAGCGTGGCATGGATGACGCTATGCGTCGTAGCATCTTTGGTTCATCTGATAAATCAGATGAACCATCGCCGAAGCGAAGGCGCTCGAGGTCGCGAGACTCGGGCGCTAACAGTGGTGTCGGTTCTCCTATTGACACCACTACACAGCGAGGTGCCAGTACTTCTGTCGGCACGTCGCAGGAAGAGCGGGACCGCAATGTCTTGCGTCTCGCTCCTGAGAAGAAGGCATGGATGCCTCCAAAATCTGTCATGGATCACTTGTCGGCGACGACGAGTGATCGTTATCGAACACGGTTGTTCGATTCGTCAAGGATCCATCACCTTGACCATAGCGCGAAAAACTATCGCGCTGAGATTTAATTCTTCATCGATGCTTTCTTTAGACATCGATGGTACAGTGGGAATCACAAGCGTGATGGTCCCTCACTGCTTCAGGCGTGGAACGACGATATCCATAACCTTGAGGATGTAGGTCGTGACGTTTGGAACGACAAACTTATCAAAGCTCGTGATAAGTTTGAAAAGCGAACCCCGACTGGTGCACGCTACAAGCTGCATCGTCTGTCTAGGGAGAGTGGGTTACCCCGTCTCTCCTGGGGAGACTCGTGCCCATGTTGTGTGAACAACTCTGCGCGAGCACCTAAGGAGGCTTACCTCCTTACTAGCCCGTGGTGGCGCGTACGTATCTCTACTGAGATGTACTAAGGGATTGACAACCTGAAATCCCTTTACGACCGTGCCGGGAAGACTTTCTCCAGCGGTCCTTCTGCGGCACAGGATGTGCCGCGTCGTACTGCTCGACCAGACCCAGTACGTCAACCATCAGTTGGGAGCGGGGCTCCCAAGTATCCCAGGACGGGGGATAGCCGCGCCACCGGACGAGATAACTCGTCCGACGTCCGTTCACGTCGCGGTGGTTCAACAGCTGCTCAACTAGATAGCGCTGGCCACCGCGAGAGTTCTCTAATGGAGGTGGAGGAGGAGGAAAGACGCTCTCCACACGATCATGTGGATCGGTGTGTTCCCGAGAGCTTCTTTGATCGCGTAACGCAAGGGTTACGCGACGATCTCGAGCATGAGCGGAATAGGCGTCTCCAAATGGCGGACACTGCCTCGAAGCATCGAGCTGAGTTTGCCTTTGCTCAGCTTGAGAACGAGAGATCTCTGACATCTCTTCGTGACGAGCTAAGGGTAGCTCGTGGGATTGTTGATCGGTCTCGGGATGAGATAGCTGCTCTTCAGACCCTTGTTGATGCCCACCATCGGGAGCACAAGGCTCTCTGCGAGATGCTTGAGCGCAAGGACGTTCTTTATCGGAAGAAGCAGCGTACTGATGGTACGGCATAAGCCGACCAACGTAAAACGTGGGATGCGTTCGCATCTTACGTGGTAACTCGATCGTGTATGCATTGCCTAGGCGGTGCAATACACGAAATGGGCCGATGTACTTGGGTAGTAGTTTACTGCTACCCAAGTTAGTGACTACATGCTTTGGTAGATTAACCGTAGACAGTAGGACTAAGTCACCTTTATTGAATAAAAGAGTGTTTGCTCTTCCATTCTTATCAGCGTTTTGCTTGTGCTTATCCACCGCTTCGGCGATGGAGTCTTGCACAAAACGGACTACCGTTTCACGAGCCAGTTTGAACTCATCTGATGACTCGTTAGCTTCAGTGCGCTGTGAGTGCACTGCAGCGACATCAATCTTTTCTTCAGTGAGGGCTTCCGCACTCTCACTGGCATCATCTTCTTCGATATCGATGTTATCGATATCGGCATCAAACGCAATGACTTCTTCGTCAGAGCGTGATGAGCGTGAACCAATTCGGTTTTTGCTCGTGCGAGTCTCTCCTCCCTTAAACCAGAGTTACACTCGAGTAAGGTGGGTACACGCGGATGGCGCAAGCCATTCACGTAAAACGGTGTATGTGTCGTGGACGCATGCACTGAGTTGTTAATGGCAAACTCTACCATTGGCACGAACTCACTCCAACTCTTAAAGGAGTGTACGTATCCTCGAAGTATCTCTTCGAGGACACGATTGGCTCGTTCCGTCTGACCATCTGACTCTGGATGATCAGATGTCGACATCTTCAAGCGCGTTCCGAGTGATTTGAACACGGAACGCCAGAAATCAGCAGTGAATCGTGGATCTCTGTCTGATACGAGCTCACGGGGCAACCCATGAAGTCGGAAGATGGTGTCAATAAAGACACAAGCACAGCCACTTGCCGTGATTGACTCGGGTACAGCTACAAGGTGTACCATTTTGCTGAATCTGTCAACAAATACGAGAATACCCGTATTCCCGCGTGCGTCTTTGGGTAACCCGAAGACGAAATCCATTGAGATGGATTCCCAGCACTCAGCCGTAGCTGGAAGAGGCTGTAAAGGTGCACGCAGTGAAGGACTTGACTTCACTCGTTGACAGACTTCGCAAGCGCGAACATACTTGCGCACAAACTGATACTGGCGGGGCCAGTAAAAGTCTCGACTCACCGTGAGATATGTCTTCTCACGGCCACGATGTCCTCCTATAGGAGCATCGTGATACTCGAACATGATCCGCAAACGCAGATCAGTATCATCTGGGATGACAACACGTGGTGTGTCACCAGTAACGGCTGTATAGTACAGTAAACCGTTACGAGTAGTGTATCGATCTGATGCAGATCGATACGCAGACGACAATCGTTTCAACGATTCTCGGGATGGTTGGGAGAGATGTGTCAACAACTTCACAATCTCACCATCTTGGGCGTATGCCCGCCTCACATCATCATTCAACGTTGAAGATGGGACTGAGGACGTCATAACCGCAACAGTGACTGTCTCACTGTTGGGTTTCGCGACTATTTCAAAGTCGGGACGACGTGAGAGTGCATCAGCGACGACATTAAGTCGTCCTGGTTTGTACTCGACCGTAAAGTTTTATTCTGCAAAGAATGAAAACCACCGCGCCATTCGTTGTGAAAGTTGCGGGCTGTTCACTGCCGTGCGTAATGACGCATGGTCAGTGCAAACAATAAAGGGTCTATCTCCTGATAGATAGACTCTGAACTTCGCGAGTGCATACTTCATGGCAAGGAGTTCCTTGTCATGCACTGGATAGTTCCGCTCAGCTGGTTGCAGCTGACGCGACTGATAGCAGACGACGCGTTCAACGCCTTCAAGATCGTACTGCATTAATGCACAGCCGATTGCAAAATCGCTGGCATCACAGACCACATGAAATGGCCTGTCTTGATCGGCTATTGTTAGGACTGGGGATTGTATCAAGCTCTGCTTGATACCATCAAAGGAGCGATGACATTCAGCGTTCCATAGCCACCTCTCGTTCTTTTTCAACAAACGAGAGAGGTGCACAGTCATCTCGGCGTAATTGCGTGAACACTTATGCAAATACGCCGCTAGCCCAAGGAATTTTCGAAGACCTTTGACATCGACCGACACAGGCCAGTCGGTGATCGCCTTGATCTTTTCGGGATCAGGACGTACACCGTTCTTACCAACGATGCACCCAAGAAGTGGTATTTCGCTTGCTGCAAATATACACTTCTTCAGGTTTGCATACAATTGATGCTTTCTCATGATTGTAAGAACCTGTCGGACGTGGTATCTGTGAACCTCAACGTCCGACTTTCCATCCATAGCTCGACTATGGATGAATGCGTCATCGAAATAACTCGGCGCGAATTCTCGTACTGGTCTCAACAGATGTGATACACATATGTTGAACATGGCAGGGCCATTACTAAGCTCTTGTGGCATTACTAGCCATTCCCAGAGCATGCCGCTAGGTGTGCTGACTGCGGTATAGGGTATATCCCGTTCCCGCATAAGGATTTGATAGAAGCCATCCATCAAATCCATGGACGAAAAGATGGTACTCTTTGACATACCATCAATGATTACGTCCTTCCTTGGTATCGGCGTCTGAGCCGGTACCGTTGCAGCATTCAACTTGTTAAATGCATGCACAATCCGCCACCCTCCTGTTGCTTCTCGCACACAGAAGGTAGGAGAGCTATGTGGGGAAGTTGATTCCCTCACATGGCCTGCAGCTAAACGATCGGCAAAGAACTTGTCGATCGCAAGTACTTGTTCACGAGGCAGTGGCCACTGCTTCATGACACAGTACTTCGAGCCTGGTTTAAGCTCGACCTCGTGTCGAATACCTTTATCCTTCGGTTATTCGCACGGAACAGTTTCAGGGATTACATCCTTGAATTCAACCAAATCTTCATAGAGAGGATTTGTCTTGAGCGATTCCCACGATTAGGAGTCATATCGCCCCACTCGTGTCTTTTCATCTAGGACACTCTCGTCCATAGATAAACTACTGAGAACTCTCTCGGTCTCAGTGAACACTGTTGCTGACCTTATGTCGGCTACACACTCGTCGTCAGCGACGAGTATGCAGATCTGCTTGACTTTGCCACTACGCAGATCACGCAAGAACCTTTTATGTTCGAGCGTTGGCAACTGAGTGATCTCCGAAGTCAACTTCGGAGGCGCAATCAGATCAAGTGTATAAGCGCCTACACTTAATCTGTTATTGACAATGACATTCAATGTCTCTGTCATTTCCTGGGGACTTATTCCCTCAGGCTTCGAAGGACTTATTCCTTCGGCTTCCCGGGGACTTATTCCCGCGGGTTTCGGGGAACTTATTTCCGCCGTATTTGTAATATCGGGACTTATTCCCTTAACTTCCTCTAGCTGGGGTTGCGCAACCACAGCGAGATCCTCTACGAAAGACTCTCCAGTCGATCTAGGATTATCGTTTCGCTTAACCTGAGCGATCGATTGGTTCTCTTCTAGATGTTTCCCTCTAGGGATACATCTTTGTCCCAGTCCACCCGACTTATTCGAGTGGTGGACCTTCGGCGCAGCCTGTGTTTCCTCACAGCCGCCGGAACTTTGCTCCGAAGTGTAACCGTTTGGTACACTAAGGTTTTGTGCAGTCGTACTAACGACCGTACCACAAGTGAGGCCATCGCACTCACTCGTAGTACATCCACACGCTTGTGGACGCTCCAAAACGTTCATCAGATGGCCATCTGATGAACAAGCGGCAGGCATCATTACTGTCCGATGTTGCCAGTTTACCCGTGGTTTGTACCTTCTAAGCCATGGCAGACCGAGGATGACATCAAATTTGTCATCCAAATCCAAAACGATAAAGTCATCGTCATATTGGGTATCTTCTAGCGTATAGTGGATCTTCACTATACGCTTCATGACGGTTACGGATGCGCCTGTCGCAAGACGAACCGTCATCCTCGTAGGAGGTGTGTCACATTCACTGAACTTAAAGTGACCATCTTCTAGCGATTGGCGTCGCACAAAATTGTTGGACGCCCCACAATCGACTAGAGCTCGAAGGGACAACTTATTTGTCACTTCGAGTTTCAAGGTAATGAGTGAGATCTCATTACCTAGAGCAGCAACGCACAATATTTGTGTGTTGGGAGCAGCCTTCATCAAGAGGCCTACAAATTCTCTTGACGTTGCTAGACCAGTAGGGTGCTCCGCACCTACTGATCCTGTCCGTTTTTTGACGTTCCATCCCGTTGTTGCATCTTTGCACCAACAGCGGACCCGTGTCCCTGCCCCTTTCTCATGGGTGGACGGTCACTACGCCCAGTGTTGCGAGACACTGGACGAGGGGCACTACACTCGTAAGCGTAGTGTCCTGTCTTCTGACATCGGTTGCATTTCTGCAACTTCTTGCAGCCTGTAGAGCGAGCCTTCTCGCTCTCTACATAACAGAGTTCCATCGGCTCTGGGCCTCCGTTGTCATATCGTCTCGGTTGACGATATGATGTCGAGCTGGTGCGAGCCTGTCTCAGACTGAAGTCTTCCTGTTCCGCAATAAATATGGCTTGTTCTAGTGAATCTAGTTCAAGCCGGAACATGTGAGTCTTGACGGGACCATCCGCAAGACCCTGCATGAACACCGAAACCAACGTGTGTTCATCCACCGGATTGGAACTTATACAACTCGTAAGATGTCGTACATGTTGCGCGTAAGCGTGCACATCACGCTTACCTTGTTTGAGCTTCAAGAGTTCAGTTCGAGCTCTGAACTCAGCTCTAGGCGGTTCAAACGTTTGTCTGAGCCGCGACTTGAAGACTTCCAACGACCCAAACGCATATGGGTCGTGCAACTTGAGTCCCAAAGCCCAAGTCTTGGCACGTCCTGCCAGATTTGATTGGGCAAATGCAACTTGCATATCCCCGTTGCCGATGCGACGCGCCCTTATGGCGTCGTCTAGGTCGACGAACTATCTCAAGAGGGAGTCCTCTTCGACCCCCCTATACTTGGAGATGTCAATCTTCAA